GACCGGGCTGCGCTCTGCGGCCAGGGAGAGGCTCCGCGTCGCGGCCTGCCGCCGTCCCTGCCGGTGCCCGATGTGGCCCTGGCTGCGGTTCAAACCCGTCGCTTCTTCTCCTACCCACCCAGAGGAGATGGGGACCAGCGTGTTCCCTTCCTCGCCACCGTGGCCGCAGCCCTCTGTCGTGACTCGAGTGCCTTGGCCGTCCTGCGGCTCTGAGCAGCCCTCGCTGCCTTCTGGGCTTTTCCAGCGGGTGCTTTCCCTCGTGCTGTGCCTGGAAGAGGACACAGCGATCTTCCCGCTGAGGCAGCTGCTGAGGCCGCTCCCAGCCGCTTCCAGGTGCTGGGCAGAGCGCAAGGACTGCTTCGTGCATCTTGCAGGGAGGCCTAGGAGCTCTCAGTCTGTGAAATACCGTAATCCTGCAGCCGTCCTTTAGTAACTGTTCGAGCTGGCCCTTACCACGTATTTATGCAGTCAGAAATCTCACTGTGCCTTTGGGGATTTCAGAATTTGGTGCTGGTTATTTTAGACTGTCTCTCAACTCAGTCAAGCTCACGTCCGAGTTCTCATCCGGTCTAGGCCAAGGCTTTGCTATCCTCCTGGCTCTGTATCATCGGCACATCTGCGCACAGTGTGATCCACTGTCAGTAGATGATAGCACAGATTGCACTGCTGATAAAAAAAAAAACAATTAACAGGCCAGGAACCAAGAGACTTCCACATGGGTACCCCAATACATCCTCGACAGCGACCTTCACTAAGTGCTCTCTCAGCATGGTCAGCCAACGGTTCTGCGCTCACCTTACCTAGTTTCAGTATGTTTTCCCAGCTTACTTAGCAGGTACGCTGTTGAATGATGTGAAAAGCTTGGTGAAAGTCAGGGTTGTGAGGAGTTTACTGCCTCTCTGCTCTCCACAAGGCCTGCAATATTGTCATAGGAGAAAATTAGACTGGCTGGTACGACTCCTTGCTAACAAAGACATAGTATTTACCTCCTTGCTATCTTTTTGGTGCTTACAGAACGCCTGACTATTAATTCAAAATCCAGCTTTTCCTTCTGTCTCGCCTCGTCTGCTTTAGTCACCCTGGCTTAAATCAGTGTCTGGCTTAAATCTGTCCAGTGAGGGATGGAGCATCTCGAAGGCTTTCAGGGGCCAGGGCACGGCCCTCCGAGAGATGAACCACCTGCATCCTCCGGGGCTCCGGCTGCAGCTCACCCCCTCTGCCTTCCCGCGGCCGCAGCGGGCTCGCGGCCGGGCCTCCCCGCGGGGG